TAAAGGCGTGACACTGCTCAAGATGCACTATATTCATAAACTGCTTTCAACTCCTTTGTACAACTATTGAAGGATAATTTAAAAAATAAATTAGGGGAAAAGAGCTATTATAAATATGAATGCATGGAGTTGGGGTGAAACCCAGTTTGCATTTCATTTAAGTCAAGACCTACAAGTAGCACTATCTGGGTTAGATGTAAATATATGTGCAACCCTATAAGAAACCACAAAACTGTGGCACCATTTTGCATTCCCACCATTAATATCTGAGACTCCCAGATGTTCTTCATCCTCACACACTTGGTACTGTCAAGGTTTCATTCTGCTAACTTTAGTCATACAAAGAGATATGTGATATTTCCTATAATTTTAAAATTAGGAGTCTTTGAGTTTTGTAGGGTTTCAGAATAATACATACTTCTACCTATAAATCAGTAATATATTTGGAGACAGAGCCACAAGCCTATGCAATTAAATAAATTCACAGTTACAACACACAGGGGAAAAATACTAGTGCTAGAAAAACTGTTCCTTCTACACATATGCAAATCTGTAAACACTAATAAACTGATAATAATCATCAGTTTCATCAAATACTATGAGATAACTTGATACTTTACAATGTTTTACAATTTAAAAATCATAAATGATTGATAATTTAAGTATTATGCATACATTTACATATAGCCCATACAAAAAGTACATTTTATGGCAAGTGCTAGTTTAAATTTTATGGTAAAAGATTGTCTGATAGTTTATAAAACCAAGATTCAAAATTATACTGGCCACATTATTTATATTAGTCAAGAACCTGATTGCAGATATTAGGTGTTTTGAGGAAAAATTATAATTTTCAATGATTTATTGACCTTTTTTAAAATTAATCTTGGAACTTCAAATTAAGAAAAGTAAATATATGGTTGGAATCTGTACTGCATCTGATTTCTTACAACTTTGTTGTTTAAAAAATAATCTGTTCCTAAGGATGATTTTATTCATTTCTTATCTATTTGCATAGATGGAACAGGAAATTAAATGTCTTTTCATGAAAAATAACTATTTCACGCATCCAGCAAATACGTATTGCCTTGCTAGCAGGGTTAGTGGCTACTCTTTTGGATAGTGGTCTCAGGAAGGGAAACACTACTGAAGGGATGTATGAACAAAGACCTGAGAAACGGAGGAGTTGGCCTCCAGAGGAAGCAGATTCCAAGATGAGAGAGAGAGCTGCAGGTGGAAAGGCCCTGAAGAAAGTATGTGTTTTAAGAGACTGGAGAAACCATTGTAGCTCCAACACAGCAGAGTGAGAAAGGAAGGCACTAGAAGGAGACAAAATCGGCAAAACCCAAAGCCAGACACCATAAAGACATAGATTGCATCCAAATTTTCAGTTAAATATAAAGCAAGTAGAGTGTTGTCAAAAGCACAGTTGCATGATCTGAATTAAGTTTAAAGCAAAACTTTGCTGTTTGAGAATCAATTGCAACAGTAAGAATGAAGCAGAGAAACCTTAATTAAGAGGCCACTATAAGAGTCCAAGTGAACGGTGACAGTAGTCAATGCCAGTCACAACTGGTATCTGGAAAAACTTTCAGATTTAGTACTCCACTTTGCATGTAGAGACAAAAAGAATGGTTTGTATTGCATTTGAAGTGTGAAGAAAAGTAATGACTTCAAGGAGGAAAAGTAGCACTAGAAAGTTAAAGAAATGACAGTCACTTATTCTGTCAAACTGACACACAATGTCTGGGTAAGCTAGCTGGCATCCAGTTTTTGAGAGTGAGAAAGCAAGATTGCCATTTTCAATAACTAATTTTGGGAACATGTTCTGCCATCATGGAGTCATTGAGAATTCTGACTAAAGGTAAAAATCACAAAGCCTTTTCTCTTCTGTTCTTGGTGACTTTTGTGTAATATATTCCTGATCAGATATTGTAGGCTGAGTTTGACAGGGATCATTCAGCTGAATGAATGAACAACAGAGAAATGGCCTGATTATAATGTAAATAGATGAAGATTAGCATAGGGAAGCAAAAGAAGCACCCATGTAGGAAAAAATGAGGCAAAGTAAGTAAATTATAATTTCTAAACTATCATATATTTGTATCAATTGTCCGAAGTAATAAGAATCTGAACACTTGGAGTTTAGAAGATAGAAAATGGTTTTTTCCTCTCAGAAAGTTAAGAATGCTGTCTGTATCAAGACCATTTCCTAGTAAGATAACCTAGTGTTTCAAGACAGCAAATAATGAATTTAAAAGAAATTCAAGATCATTTTGAAGGACAAGAGAGACTGAAGTTATAAATGGCACTGGACAAGTTTCCTTTATATATCTGGGCCCCTACCATGTGAGATCCAAGGGTGAGCAAGTCAGTGCTCTGTTAATGTGATTCTCAGGATTCCATGAGAGATGGGATGTTAAGCAAGCTTATTTGGAATCAAGTATTCAAAGTATCACCCTTTAGGACCATTGTCAGTTACGTTATATAATGCTTCCATCCCTTATAGTGTTTAAGAAATGCTTATAGAGTGAATGAATGAATGGATGAATGAATGAATGAATGAAACTTCTCACTACTTTTGAATTAGGACCAAGTAGGAAAGTAAATCCAAGTCCATTTTTATATCCTTTTCTTCCCAAGGCAGGTTCAAAGTCCTTCTGTAGTTATGATTCTGAGGGTCTGACAAGCTGACTTAATATTATAATCCAGAAACATTTATCTATCATTAAAAGAAACAATATAAGAAGATACTAATAACAGATGCTGGAGGGGATGTGGCCAGAAGGGAATCATACTGCACTGTTGGTGGGAGGTAAACTTGTTCAACCACTTTGGAAAGCAGTATGGAGGTTCCTCAAAAGACTCCACACAGAGCTCCCCTATGACCCAGCAATCCCACTTTTGGGCATTTATCCAAACGATCACAAAGAAGTCCATACTAAGGCTACCAGCACTACTATGTTTATCACAGCATTATTTACCATAGCTAAGATATGGAACCCACACAGATGCCCCTCAGTAGATGAATGGATCAAGAAAATGTGATGATAGATAGATAGATAGATAGATAGAAAGAATGGAATTCTATGCCTCCATCAGAAAAAATAATATTGCCCCATTTGTTAGGAAATGGAAAGACTTGGAAAAAATTTTATTAAGTGAAGTAAGCCAGGCCCAAAGAAACAGGTCCCATGGTTTCCCTTATTTTCAATAACTAGTACATGTATAGGACAAGCAAAAAAGGTTAAAAGCTATGTACATATAACCAGATAAGATGATGTTAAGTGGACCGGGAAGGTGGCTCAGTGGTAGAGCGCTTGCCTTGCATGCCTTAGGCCCTGGGTTCAATTCCTCCACACCACATAAGCAAAAAGAAAAAAGCCAGAAGTGGCGCTATGGCTCAAGTGGTAGAGCACTAGCCTTGAGCTGAAGAGCTGAGGGACAGCATTCAGGCCCCATGACCGGACCCCCCCCAAAAAAAAAAAAGATGATGTTAAGTGAAATGAACCCCAAGATAGGAAAACAAATATCTTTTTTGTTTCTTGCTATTCTTTCTAATGTATTTATAATGTACCATGTGATTTTTTTTGTCTCTTTGTATGTTCCTCCCACTTGGTATAATCCCTGTTTTCACTGTATTTGATATTGGTGCCCTGCATCTTGTAGATATACTTCTCTAATTCGGGGAGGGAAAGGGAAAAAACAAAATGCTTAAATAAGGATACAGGTTGACCCATTGTAACAATGAGATGTACAAAACACCATGTTGAAAATGAACTTTACAACTTCGGTGGGGCGGGGGTAGGGGTAGGGGTAGGCGGTGGGGGGAGGTAGTTGTGGAGGTGGGAGGGAAGGGATGGTAAGGGGAAAACAAAGGAGGATGCAATAATGCTCAATAGGAAATGTACTTATTACCTTGCTCATGTAACTGTAACCCCTCTGTACAGCATTTTTACAATAAAAATGTACAAAAAAAGAAGACTATTTTGGAATTCCTTCAGAAAGTTCTAGCACTTAACCATTAAGTAACATATAGCCAGAGTCCCACTGGTACTAATTGTTCCTGCCTCCCTCCTACTTACACCAACCAAGGCTACAAAGCAAGCCAATCATACCCACACCACCGACAGAGCAATCAGACCTAAGCACCTTTAGAAATTCTAAAGCTCTCCCGTAAAATCACAGTCCACCAGATGCCCCTTTCACCAAAGGTTGAAAGAGGTTCAAGAGATTCCTCTATGACTTTTATAGATGGCCTTCCAGAGAGAGAAATAAAATGCTAAATAATAATTCAGGAACATGATGATATGCCCATAGAAGAATTCGATTTATTGACATGCCTCTCTATTTCTCATGATTAGAGTACAGTGTGAATCATTCTCATCTCTAGAACTGAAGTAATCAAAAGACAAATGAGGGACCAAAAATATTTCATTAATATGACTACTCAGCCACATCACAGTATCCATTCCAACTGGAAAACTATAACTCTATTTAACAGCACAAAGCCCTACATTTATTTGCTTCTTACAAGCAATCATTCAGCAGATTGAAACAGCCAGCTAGATCATCTCAACCTTATTTAATTTAACATTCTCCTTCCTCATTCATTCTGCTGCACAGACAGGGCTGCAGTTCTTTTTTCAATAACTTCCTACAACTTAGAACCAGAAATAACAAACTTTCCTTTTTGAGTCCTCATATTCCAGAAAGAAAGAACCAGTAATTGTGACACTATTACAATGATGAAAACTGACCCTCTTCTCTTGCTTTATTTTACAGCAAAACAGATGATAACCAAAGGAGTTTTCTTTTGCTTAAATATTCTTTTATTGTGTTGGTTTAGAGCAGAAAGTATGTTTTAGAGATGGACATTCTTTAGACAAAGCATCATTTGCCAAATAACAGTAAGCAGGTGCTGACTTAGAAAAAGGTAAAAGAAAGCCATAGATAAATGAGGTAAAAACTTTATTTTAGCTATAACCTTTACATTGTACCTGGAGAGACCTTCTGAATTGCCACCGGAATTCAGTTGTTAACTTGCTCCCGCAATGTTCTTCCACTGAGGAAAAAAAAAAAAAAAAGATCTCAGATCATAAACGCTCCCCTGAAGCAGCCTAAGGTTTCCTTTTATTTCTGGTGACAGAGAGATTAATAATTTAACCTCTCCTGGAAATTTCAATAGGGGTCCCAGTCTTGACCAGTGTTGCCCAATAGGAATATAATGCAAATGACATGTATAACTTAAAAATATTATAAGTGTTGTGTTGGAAAAAAGTAAAAGCAGGGAAAATCAATTTAAATGTGTTTTCAATAACCCAGAATATCCTAAACATGATTTCACCTAAAATTATAATGCAATACAAAATGATTGATGAGTCACTATGTTGCATTGAAATCTGGTGTGTATACCTGTAGACACAAATCAGCTTAGATTGGCCACATGCTGGCCAGGTTGCTCCAACATTAAATAGCAGAGACCTCACTGCGAGACCTAGGGATTGTTTAAAGGATAGTGAATGTGTGTGGGCTGGTAATATCAAAGTCTCTCTTTACAAGGTGACTGGAAGACAGAAATGGGATGACCTACATAATCCAAAGTCTGGATGCAGACAGAAATTCTACAGATTCTTAATAATAGCCAAAACTGAACTCTCCTCTAGTGATCACAGCCCATGGTATATCAACACATCACCTCAGTGTGCCATAAGCTCTATAAGTAAATTCTTCCTTTATCATGTATGTGGAAATATTGGTTTGCTGGTTTGTTCAGGACTTGAGCATCTCATTTACCTCACATCTTGCATTCTCTTTTTTTTTAATTTTATTTTATTGTAAAGATGCTGTACAGAAAGGTTACATTTACATGAGTAAGGCAATGAGTACATTACTTGTCGATCATTGTTTCCTCTTCCCTTGTTGTTGTCTTACTATGCCTTCCCTTCCCTACCTCCCACACTCCTCCCCACCTTTCCACCCATGCCCAAAGTTGTAAAGCTTGTTTCCAATATACTGTCCAGTGGGTATCATTGTTGCAAGGGGTCATCCTGTGTCTTTGTTTCAGCATTTTGTTATTCCCCTTCCCCTCCCCAGATTAGACAAATGTAGATACAACATGCAGGATACCAAAATCAAGTACAGTGTCAACAGGGGATATACCATAGGGGGAAGAACATACAAAGGAAACAAACAAAAAAGATATCACATATTCTCTCAGACCACAAGGGAATAAAATTAGAATTCAACACCAAATGCCACCAAAGAAAATCCATAACACATGGAGGCTGAACACTACACTGTTGAACCACGAGTGGGTTATGGAAAAGAATAGGAAGGAAATTCAAATATTCATGATATTTAACATCTTGCATTCTTGAGAACCCCTGTGCTTTGGTGCTATGGTACCAAATTGAGGAAACTCAGTTCTCATCTAGATACCTCATTCTATCTAATAACCCAAGATAACCTTCCTTTTAAAAAGCCCTCTACTTTGGAGAATGTATGTGCCAAATATTCCGCAGGGCATTTCCTGAACATCACGTCTAACCCACCAAAGGTAGGCATTGCCACCTGCACTACAGAAGACTATGTTTGAGCCATTCTTTGCCTTGACAGCACTCAATGTTCTTTAATACTAAAGTGAAATACCAGCATCTTTTCATTGGCTTCATTCTAAACTGCAATTCTTACATTATTTTCTGCAAGCAAAAATCGGTAAGAAAGCAACCACCATCTGTCACCATAGAGCTTGCAAGAAGCAGAGGAAAATCTTTTTTTTCCACCCAAAGTCCAAGATAAAGAAATTCACTGAGTACCTCACACATTACACAATCCTCCCCAGTTGTCCACTTACAAAGCCAACAGTCATTTTCATTGCAAATTAGAGGTCACCTCTGACAATTCTGGCCCTCCAAATCCATTCTTGGGGCATTCTGGTCCCCAAAGTCATTAGTGCAAACGTGTTTCAATTGCTTTTCAAGTCTACCTACACATCGATTTCTCTGAAGGGACCTCTGCTATTCCAGGCTTCTCCTCCCCTCACATAGGCTGTCGCTAAGGAGAAGTGGGCTCTGCCTCCTCTGTAATTACTGCTTCAAACTATGCCATCATCTCTACTAGGCCCTTCCTTACCACCCGGCTCTCCTACTTCTGAGAACTATAACCTCTAGTTCTTGGCATCCTTGGGTAAGGTTCAAAAGCTCCCACTCGTAGTCAGTAACAACTGATGCCCACCTACAATAAGAAATTCAGTTTTTCAAGGGCCTCCAAGCTTTGAGGAAACCCTTCCTGAACAACCATGAGTTTGGGTAGTGAATTTGGCTAGAGAAGCAGAATTGATCTGTTATCAAACGAGAAGTTTGACTGGAAGTGTGCAAAGTTCTTCCTTATCCCACAAGTCTCTATTTGATCCTATTCTAGGAAGAGAGCCCCCCAAGTAGTCACATCAATATATCTGCGCATGAGAAAAATACTCAGGCTAATTTTATTTGCAAAAAGTTCTTTCTCATTCAAAGTAGCCAATCCCTTATCCAAGACAGTTTTGTCTCCACATACAAACAAGATGGATGCTAAGGTAAGTTGTCTGAAACTATGTTAGTCGGGGTACTACTGAGAGTAGAATCAACAAGATATATATAGATATGTCTGTCTATCTGTCTATCTATCTATCTATCTCTCGAGAAAGAGAGAGAGACAGAGAGACAGAGAGAGAGAGAGAAGGCTCCCAATTTACCTGCTGAAAACTGAACCATGAAAGTCAATGGTTTGATTCTGAGTCCAAAGACCCAAAAACTTGAGGCAGGGATGGAATTAGCCATATATTTAGCCTGGTATTTATACCAGGTGAAATCAGAAAGACTAAGAAATAGAAACTCTAGTGTCCACGGGCTAGAAAACATAGATATCCCAGCTCAATCGGTAATAGAATTCTCCACCTGTTTTTTTTTATTATTTTCAGGCTCTCAATGGAGTTGTTAGTGAGGCTCACCTGCACTGGCCAAGGACAATGCAGCTGTGACTCGGTCTAGCAAGTCAAGTGGCTCATCTGCTCCAGAAATGCCCTCCACGACACAGCCAGAAATAATGTTTACCAGCCCTGTTGGCATCTCTTACCCAGGTAACTTGACACATTAAATTAAGCATCATAGATGCATTGCTCCTCAAAAGGTATTCATGGACACTCAGCGGGCGTCATCTGAAAGCTTGTTAGAAATGAATTTAATGTGGTTCCCAGGTAACTCATTTCCATGCATCAGACATAGATTTTTTATAAAAAAGGGATGTGACAGGTGAGTCTGTAAATATCTGGCAGCTAGTGCAAACAAACTATAATTTTCATTTAGTTTGCATTATGCTGGGAATTGTTAGGCTTTCCTTTTAAGTCTCATTTTTCTATCCTAAACTTAGACAAATTAGAACAGGTTCCAGACAAAAACCAACTCTCTTTATATGGTCCTGGAATCCCGCTTTCTCTTTACTTACTAAAGAAAAAGTTGATACTCTGTGAAACCCTTGCTTGCATCACAGAGGGATACTACCTACTGAAAAACTGCAATGTGCCCCTGAATACACAAAACCATGGCATGATGGCCCAATAAGCAAGCACAGGCACCCAAAGCCTCCTTGTAATTAACAAGCCCTATATATTCTACTTTATGACTCCAAACTCTATTAGAATGACTAATGAGAAATATAATGTTATTATATAACTATCAAATTTGATTAACTGAAGTAAAGAAATTAGAAAATAGGTTGATTTTAAGGCTTTATGAAACAATGCCTTACAGAAAAAATGTAAGGTGCCTAAAACCTTCAGTAGTTTTATGTCATTTGTTCATTTGTGTGTTTCTTGGGAATATATATATATATATATATATATATGCATATATATTAATATCAACATTTTACTTGCAATTCCTATAGATTAAATGAAACATTTCTTTTCCTATAAACACTTTTCATGGTACTGTGCCAACAGGTAAGTGAGAATCATATTTTTCCTAATGTGAAACTTTTTATATACTTGGTAACCCTACTCAAATCAAGTATTTTACCTATTCAGTTATTTAAGAACATGAAGAAACACCAAGTTAATGATAAACTTACATTAAAAAAAATAAGCATAATAGATCCCTTACGCTATAAAGGGGGAGGCATGTTTAATGACATTATTTTCCACACTTGAAAGAAGATGATGATTTTGCTTTTGAAAGTTATCATTAGAGGCCTATAACTGAGAAAACCCAGAATATAAATAAAAAGACGTCACACTATCTAAAAGATATTGTTAAAAACAACTGCAGCCAATTGATCAAATGTCATCTCTAACAACATTTTCAAGAATGTAAACGACACTCCCAAAGATCACAATATAGCGCCATCACTTGTCTATTATAAACTCTAAATGAATTTTATTAGCTTATTATGATTCCTGGTTTATTTTTGAAGTAGACTCCTCTCGCCATATTTTTGTCCTTTGGGTATGGCTGGAGATTGCTTCATACATAATAAACAAGTGTTCTACTACTGAACTACCCACCTACACCCCACTCTAGAGAGATGATATGAACAGAGAGAAGACAGAGGCCTCTGCTCATGTAACTTCTTCAGAAAGGCCTCTTCTATTAACCTATCCAAAATGGTGATCTCAATTTTTGTCACTCTTGCTATCTTTGCTATCTTTGTTATGACAAATATATCCAGCCCTAACCCTAAACTTACTACATGATGAAAAGTTGTTCACTAATACTTTCCAGATTAAATACACACACACACACACACACACACACACACACACACACACACACACACACACACACACACACACACACACACACACACACACCTTTCTACCTCAGTGGCTGCAACTAAACACTGAAGTCTAGAACTGGGGCCAGCTCTAATGATCAAGACCAGCTCAGGGATATTAAGCATGCTATATTTAAATATAGGACCCCTTTGTTATTAAATTTTTCAAGATAGTGACAGCACAGCACTAAATCATGCACAGGATCCCTCTGAGTCTAGGACCTGTATAAATTCACAGGTCACACACACATCCAT